GCCAGAATTCGTGAAAATGTTATCTGAAAGGATAGATGATATTCATCATCAAGTACATTCAAACTTAAAAAACGTCTGCTGATTCCATGAAGCTATGTTATGATAAGAAAGCTACTGAAGTCAGATTTGTACCAGGAGACAAGATGTGGTTGTATAATCCCAGGAAGACCAAAGGGAAGTCTCCTAAGTTGTCTTCTCCATGGGAAGGCCCATATGACATAGTGGATCGTCTCTCAGACGTGACTTTCCGAATAAAATGTGGTCGGCGAAGTAAGCCAAAGGTGGTGCATGCCAACAGGCTTTGGTGTTATCACGGTCCAGGGCATTTCAGCTGGGATGAAGTGAACAATGGAACAAAAGACACTGCTGAAGAGGTGTCACCTGGAAAGGCCACTGTCAAAGAAGAAACTCTACTCGGTTTTGAAATTTTTGTTTAATAAAGTTACTACCACTGATGTGACTGTTACCGATAATGGGACATTTCCTGATGGAGAAGATGAACCCCACGTGAAGCAGAAGCCAATGAGACAGAGACCAGTACGGAAAAAGATACGTCCTGTAAAATTCAGATACTTTATTGTATTTTAATTTTGTGTTTGTAAATTCTGTACATTAAGTTATTGTTAATTATATATTGGTTAAATGTAAGTGGCTATTGTTTGGGACGAACAATACTAAGGAAGGGGCAGTGTTACGACAGCGGAAGTCACGCGACGCTGGGAGCATGCGCGCTGGAGTTTCTCGAATGATCATGAATTTGCCCGGCAGCTCGAGTGTGATCTAAATGCCCCTTTTTTAGTATATAAGCCTGGCAAAGAAAGCCAGCTGAAGATAAATAGATAATCGAGTCACGGTAAGTCGATTCTGTTTCTGTGTTTTGCAGTCGCATAGAGCGAAGTTATCGAGCTTGTGAATCGCTGTGAGTATAGCGTGTGTTTATAAAAGTCGTTAAGTATAAAGCGACGAGGAACGTATTGACTGTGGAAATTCTGTATATTACAAAGTTTATATCGAGAAAGAATAAACTAGTTTTAATCAAGAAAGGACTTGTATCGCTGAAGATTCTCGGAAATAATTTCTAGGGGAATTAACAAACAAGCAGATACGTAACAATAACATAAATTTAAATAAACTCTCACGGTTATGCTGAAAATATAATCATTAAATTAAATATAACCAATCACTGAAGACTTGAGAAAGCTTAAAGCAATTTGTGAATTTTATTTTAAAAAGGTTTTGTGCTCTAAGAATTGTGAATAGACTTGAGAATGTTTAATAGTAATATATGTACTAGTAATGTGTTTTTATATATACTACCCAGGCCCGTACGCAGAATGTTTGAGAGGGGTCCTAATTTGTATGATCAAAACCACAATCAGCATGCAAAGCATGCTAATGTTACAGGGGGTCTGGGGTATGCTTCCTAGAAAATTTGTAAAAAATAGGTGTTATGAGATTAAACCTGGAAGCAATTTTAATGCTCTCATTCAGTATATATTCTACTGCTACCCTAACTGTACCTTTTTTATGGTAATAAGAAATTTTGCTAAAAAAATCGCAGTCTTTTTAACTTTTAATTTTGCTTCATACGGTGTGTGGCCTGCAACTACATTTAAAAATTGCTATCCGACCCGCGATCTGGAGGAAGTTACACATGCCTGCTATATAAGCATTTTCTTTTACACCACAAAAAATAGAGTAGATAGTTCCATTTCTCCATGAGAGAATTTCACAGCTCTAAGAAAGCCATAGGTTGGACAGGGACGGCCAAAACAATATACTAGACAAGACTCCATGCATAATCAGTTGAGTTCGTGTTTAGAAATTAAACGCGGCGTTCCACGTGAGCAATAATATACCTCTGAAAGAATTCCTCCATAGCCGTAGCATGATCTTGGTAGACGTTTACATCCACAGGGACGGAGTCAATGGCACCGGTGTATGACTTCACGTTAATGTCCAGGATGTCACCCTTGTACTTCACAGTCGTCAAAGAGACGCCTGGAACACACGCAGGTCACTATTTTTATTGAAACTAATGCTGTCACAAACCATGATAAACCAGTCCGTCTTCACTCTCTTTTGCAACGGTTTGTGAAGCCATCACAAATCCTGTGCTCATCCACGAAGAAGGTAGGGCCTGACATGGTTAGGTGGTTATAGAGCTGAACTCGCAATCTGCGGGTTAGAATCCCCGTTGCACCACACATGCTCGCCCTTTCAGCCGTAGGAGCGTTATAATGTGACGGCCAATCCGTTGGTAAAAAGTAGCCCAAGAATTGGCGGTGGATGGTGATGACTAACTGTCTTCCACTGCTAAATTAGGGACGGCTAGCGCAGATAGCTCTCGTGCAGCTATACGTAATTTTCAAGCCAAACAAACATCCACGAAGAGCATCCAGTCTAGAAATGTCCAACCCTGGTGATTTTGTACTCAATTTTCATTCTTGCTTGTGATGCTGATTTTGGCAAGCATGTACCTTCAGGAATCAGTCTTTTATTTAGTATGTCGGCTTTGATTGATCATGTCCCCTCTCTTTATACTTTCATTATTGTTTCGCTTCCAACCACGGGAAACAACACTCTGCTCCCTCTTAAGACAGCAACAACAAAACTTCGAAACACTAAATTTTCTAGCCTATTGAGGTCATGCAATAATTCTTTCAGGATTTAATGCCCTCTGACACGTGTGCAATAACTCCAACTTATGAAATATTTAAAATGAAAGCAATGACATAAATAAACCATAGCGAAAAAAATCTGTTAATCAACATAAGCGAAAATAACTGCTTTTTATAACGCTTATAGATTTACAAAAAATCTATATTGGGTGCTTGTTAGCATTGAGAATTAATGGCCGTTAGCGACTTTATGGTGTATTTTGTTCACTTTTTGTACACTGTTACAATTGTGTTTTAATAATGCATAACTATGCTTAATTGTAACAGTACTGAAAATAGGTTTTAAAAAAATCCGTACACTATCTTATCCTAATGGTGTTACTTTCCACATAAGTTAATCACCGATTATCTTGATGCTACAAGAATATTACTGTGCCTCAGTTGCAATTTTACTTACTATATTTCTACTAAATTAGTTTCCGAGTATTTTGATTTAAGATATTCATATGTTACAATGAAAATACATAGTAACTTTGTGTAATAATTATTATTTTTAAACTTATGTGAAAATTAACTTGAACAGTAATTTTTTTTTGAAACAACGTGGTGAATATTGTATTCAAAAGCAATCAAATAACACTAATTTATTATCCATTGCAAACTTCTATGTAACTAATAGTAATTACGGTGTTATAAAAGAAAATGAAAGTGTTTGATAATGAAAATGTGCAGGCTGTGTTTTGTTCTAATACTATTTGTGATATCTGAACGAAATTAACCCAAGTTGACAATGTTTATGTCTGTAAAATTATTTATATTTCCACCACTAGATGGCAGAGCTAACCAATCCACTGAACTATGGGAAAGGTATGAACCAAGTAGCAATTCAAGTCAATCAGAAAACAGTAATGATCGAACGAGCAGTCAGTACGGTGGAGTTCGACGGATACACATATAAGCGCTTAGACTTGTTGCGTTATATTAATATTTATCCCATACTGTCTTTCAAGCAACACTCACTAAACTACCAACAATTTGTTGGTAAATAAATCAATCCTTACCAATCACATTTTCACATTACTCCTTTTGTTTTTGCATTAAGTACCCGGTACTAAGCTTATATGTGTGTGTGTGTACAATTACATTTTTTCTTTGTACAGCTGCTATAATAAAATGATTGCCAAAATTAAAATTTTGTATTCTTGGTCATTTTGATATCAAACGGTACGGAATCGGGCATTATGGCCGTCCCACTATACCACGATTTATTCTCTCATGTTTAATTTATATTAGTTGGAATAACCTAAAACTTATATAATGCATATGTTGTCAGTAAAAATATTTGAAACAATATTTTGCATAACAAAATAAAGAAAACCCACGTTTACAGTATGTAAATATTTATTTCAATTATGTTCACAGCAGGTTATATATTTAAAAGTTTAGTTTGAAATATGTAAGAAATACAAATACAGTGATGGCATTTTATCTAAAATATTTACCTCGTAATGGATAATGAGCATTTCACTAAACCAACTGGTTTTCATAATTTATTTTTCCCTTGAAAGTTGTTTTTGTTTCGGGATGTGTTGACGCTTGTTTGTTGTTAACACAAAACTACACAATGAACTATCTGTGCTCTACCCAGTACAAAACTCGATTTTTAGCGTTATAAACCCTCAGCCTCGCGCTGAGCCACCTGTGGGGAGGGGATATTAACAGTTGAGAAGTGCAATAACAAAACTTTTGTACACTTTTTAAGTTTTATATCAGAAACCAAAAAGTACTAATAAAAAATACGCATACATTTTTTGTTAGATGCTTTTTTTTAGTTTACGGAAATCAGTACTAGAAACATTTTACCATATACGTTATCCAAGTTGATAACACGTATAGAAAATAATTGTAACAAAAAATTTATTTTTAGCCTGATTCTGCGGTATGTCTGCAGGCTTGCAACACTAAGAAACCGGTTTTCTATAAACGTGATGGGCAGATCACATATAGCCCATTGTGTAGCTTTGTGCTTAATTGGAAACCAACAAACGCCTCCACTATTTAATGCGTGTATTGTATCATCACAACACAGTTTCTCACTTGGATGGTGAAAGAATTAACATCCTTACACCGAAATTTTCATACAACACATTTGCTAATATAAGAGTTATTATTAATTTATTATGATCCATGCGCGTAGTTAAATCATTCTTTAACAAAAAGAAAATAAAAAGCTTTGTATTTTGATGCACATTTACTCATTCGTCTGTAACAGAAAAATATCCAGATACGATGTTTGAGCATTATAATTCCGTCCCAAAACATAAAGGTGTATATATTTGCATTTTGTTTTACAAAGTAGTTAATACTCTAATTCATTAAAACTCGTATTCCACGTTTCAAAGGAATAAAATAAAACTAGAAATAGTTATATCATTGAACCACTATTTCAACAGATAACTGAAGCGAGAAAAAAAAGTTTCCGTACTTTTACGACTTTGTCACGTAGTTATTCAATAAAATAAAATAGCTTATTTTAAACATGGTTTTAAACCACAGACATGGACAGTTGTCATAAGCCATATATGATATACCTTTGTCACATATAACATTTGCCATAGACACAACCATTAATATTTTGTAAACATATTTACATAAAATAATTCCTTCTTAGGTGCTTTCAAAAAAAACAAAAAAAAAAACAAACAACAACAACAACAAGAAACGAAGTTTGGTACTAAAAGATACCATTATTCAAAAACACAATATTTCTATGTTATGTACGTTCTTATAACAACACACACCTTTGCATCTTACACTGATGTAAGTACAGCCTGTATAGGGGAATGTTACCTCAAGAAAGTACAATACACATTAACATGGAGTGATCTCAATGTGCGTGTGGTTCTCACAAACTACTGCTGAGAAGAGGCAACTAAAACGTTGGAATAGTCGCAGAACCATAAATAGTGGTATAAGCAAAGATGAAGGTAATGTGATCTTTACTAATGAATACAAGTTTGCAAACAATCAATGACAGTCTATTCAAAAGCAGAGAACAAAAATGATATTTTAGTCAATATACAAAGGATGATAGGAAAACGGTACAAGCTTGGGGCTGCATCTCAGCGAATAGTGTAAGGGATCTTCACAAAATTGATTTCACCTTGACTGCTGACAAATTCAGATCCATCATAATATTCCCTAAGAAACATATTTCACCTGGTGGAGGATTTATCTTCCAGAAAACACGAGATTTTTTTAGGATCACTGTATTGTTCTATCATACAAAAGTTAAAAAAGAAAACTATATAGATTTGAGAAAAGTTTGAATAAATGTTCTACATTCCTTTTGTATTAAGCATATTACTTTTTATTTTATTTAATTTTTTTAACTGAACATCACTAGTAAAAATTATATTAAATAATTCATGTAATCATAAAACTTACATTTTTGAAAATTCATGAATTATAAAGATATGTAACATAAATGGAAAATGTATTGCAAATACCAACAGAAGTATAATATTCTCCAAACTGTTACCAGAGAAGGTATTTTTCTCACAGTACAAATAAAGACATGCCTCCAAAATATATGCATTCTTTGTCGTATCTATAAAATAATTCAAAACTTTTTAAATTATTACATTTCAAATATTGAGCAATGTGCAGTACCATGCTCAACTTGAATTTTTGGCATGGCCAGGTGGGTAGGGTGCTTGACTCGTAATCTGTGGGTCGCGGGTTAAAATCCCCGTCCACCAAACATGTTCACCCTTTCAGCCGTGGATGTATTATAATGTAACAGTCAATCCCACTATTCGTTGGCAAAAGTTTGTTTGTTTTTTTTTAGTTATGCACAAAGCTACACAAGGGCTATCTGTGCTCTGCCCACCACGGGTATCGAAACCCGGTTTTTAGCGTTGTAAGTCCGCAGACATACCGCTGTGCCACTGGGGGATCGTTGGCAAAAGAGTAGCCCAAAAGTTGGCGATGGGTTGTGACGACTAAATGCCTTTCTTCTAGTCTTTCACTACTAAATTAGGGACAGCTAGCGCAGATAGCCCTCGTGTAGCTTTGCGCGAAATTCAACACAAACAAACAAATTTACTAATTTTTTCTTCATCATAGAAATAATAAAATGATAATAACATGCTAAAATGACATCTATATTCCCTAAAATAATAAAACATATTTTGCAATGAAGTCTAAAATGTAGGGTTATTTGGATAATGAAAGGTGAATATGTACGGGACTAAAAATATAAAGTGTCAGTTATGCCTTTTATGTTCCCTTATTAAATGTTCCTGTCATTTCATGCTAGCCAAACAATGTGTAGGTAAGCATACTAATTTCCTCTATAGCATCTATCACAGGGACTAATTTAATTAATTGTTTAATAGATCCCAAGGGTTATACACTCTGCAGCAGGTACAACATAATGCACCAAACCTTTGATTATCCAATCCAGTGATGACTTTCTGCTATTTCAACATGCCCTCTATACATCTTTACTATACATAAAGAACAAATATCAATCTTATGGTTAAATTTACAGTTGGCAGATGCGATTTCTGACATGGGCAGTAAAACTTTCATTAATCTCTAAAACAGTTTCACAATGTAGAGATAAGATCACCACTGTGTTGTCAGAAACCTGGCCCTACAGTTATTTTCATTACACATATTTCCCATGTAAAATATTACATATACATTTTTAAATTATTTAAACTTAGAAAATTGTATGAACTCTTTACACATTAAAACTTTCTTTCTTGCAAGTTGCAGCTTCTTTGTTAAAGAATTTATGAAACTGTTTTTTCTCTCTCTCTTTCTTGTGCAGAAATGTAACCTTTCGGGTCGATTATAACATGGTGTCACTTTTCTTTTCAAAAATGTAACTTACACACCAAAAAAATGGTGAAAACCATTGATATTTTAGTGCACTTCTACTCATCCAAAAGTTAATGAGGTAGCAAGTCATGTGGCTTGATAATTTATAAGGAGTTCTACTTCAAAAGTGTTGACTGTCATCTTACATTGAGTCCAGTTGGTTTTAGAGTAAGAGAAGAGATGGAATTCAAAGAAGCAATTGATCATAAACTTGACATTCAGCCATATTAATTTGAGCAGTTGGAAGGATTTTCTACTCAAGATCCACAAAAAGTACAAGTCTTCTTCAAAAGATACTGAGGTGGAGGAAGAAGTATACTTGGTAACACAGACTGGAATATTTTATTATAACTAGCAATAAAAAAATTTATGCTAAAATTGTTGAGATGCGAAGAGATCAGAAAGTAGAGAGCATTTGGGATGGGAGGAAAATCTGCACTACCCATTCTTGCATACAACCACTCACAGGGAGGATGCATATATAAGTTGGGTGGTGAAATGCAGAAATGGGTAATGCAGATTTTCCTTCCATCCTATATGCTCTCTAGTTTCTGATCATTTTCCATCCCTATAATTGTAGAATAGAAATTTTTATTGCTAATTTCTGGACATTTTTGACGATTAGTATCACATGTGGCGCCACCTATCAATTGATATGTGTATTCGACAGTTTTCAAATCTGTATCATTTCGTATATTTTGGGCTGTAACTAATCTGGATCATTTGGGGCTATAGGTTAAAAAAGCACATCTTGGGGAGCTGTGAAGTGTTTGATGTGCAGGCACACTGTGATTTATAAGTTACAGCTGACGAAAAGGAAGAAAGAAAAACGAGAACCGGATTCATCCCTACCACACTGCCCGATATAATTATATCAATCCATTTTACATTGGTTCCCACTCACAAAGTCGCACTATCTTCCTGAGAGACTTGCATGGTACCAGACTTGTGAAAACTTCCACCTAAAGTTCACGTGAATTTGCACTACTACACGATAAGGTATTATGCAGCTAAATCATTCACCAATAGGCGTGCAACATACCTACTTGCGCAAATCCTCCCTCTCGAAAATCATCATTCTTTCAGGAGGCAATACAAAATATGCACCAGGGAAGTCGGGAGAATGGGTAAGAACATGTACAGAGGTGCCTATCAGAAATAAATTTTCAATTAAGGAAAATGTTAACTTCCGATATAACTATTCACAGCGTTGAGATAGTGAGGGACTAGTGCAAAGATTACCTTGATGAGACTCATTTTGAAAGCATACAAAAGAAGCCCATTGGGTGTAACAACCAACGACAAGGGCTCCATAACGCCACACCCGTGGATACTGTACCTCATCCAGGGTGTGCTCTTTTCCTATATATATCAATAGAAGAAGTTAAAGGCCTGAAATGTGTCGCAAGGAACAGGGATATTACCGTCTGTAGGGGCAGGGTTTATGAGTGATACACCAAAGTTGTAAATTGCTTAATATCACCTATCTTCCATCTGAAATTGAGGGTTCACACCCTTACAGAAGTAGGAAATATGAGAGACAGATACATATAAAGAAGTATATTACCGCAATATCTGTCCAAATTCCACTTGGAGATTGTGATGTACCAATATTAAATGGAGGTGAGTTGTACTATACTCCAGAAACACTCTTTCCCCACTTTTCACTGTAGTGGAACCCATTGTTATAGCCCCAGCCGTTTAGTCTCAAATAATGAAGATTCTTCGTGGTCCACCACCCCAGTGGCTGGGAACTGGTAAGGGTCTCCTATGCTCCACTCGAGCAGGGGAGGAGGATTCGTGTAAGGGAAACCCAAATAATTTGTACAGATCACCCATCGGTTTCTTTGTCTGGAAAGGTCTTTTACTGGAGACAGTGCAATGGGTCACCATATATTCAAAAGCTAGCAAGCACTAGCCAGAGAACCAGGCACATGCACAATTATTGTGCTTGCTTTTCCTGTGATAGTCTGTAGATTAGGTACAGTCTGGATTGGACTTGAGTGTTATATACAATTGCCACAAGTAAAACTCCAGTGGTGTTGCAGAACACCTCATCTCACAGTAGACACTTATTGAGTCAGAGCACCTTTATAAGCACTTTCCGTTATCCAAACTTGATGAAGATTTTTAGGAGGCAACACTATTTACTTGGGATCCAAAAGTTGAATACATGTGCAAAAAGAGTAAGTACACAATTAAACTCACCTGTTCAAAGTGCAGTGTTGATTGAAGAATGGCAATTAGTGGAAGTCTATTTTTCCAGAGATGAGACAGATAGATGGGATGAATGTGTGTGTGGCATAATCCACATGCCAGTCTGGAGAATCTCCAAGTGGTCGTTGATAGTGACCTGTCAGATAATGTGGCAGGTGACGAATCCGGTGAGAGGAGACTCGAAATAGTTGTCGACTAGCCACCTCCAAGGAAGAATGGGCAATCCAGATCAGTTAGAAGGTCCATCCAGTAAGAGTGGATGAACAAAGATTTCCAGTAGAAGAAGGATCCCAAGGAATGAAAAGATTGTGTCAGAAACCCCTGAAGAAAAAAAAAGTCCTGGAGAGAGAGAACAATGAAGGGCCTGAACCAGACACTGGAGTCTGTTTGAGCCAGAATATCTATAAAGATGGGAGATAGAGGGAGGAAAATGGGAGAAAATGTGGACCATCTTCTCTAGCAGCAAAAGCTTTAGGCAGGAAGAAGTGATTGGAGTATTAAAGACCATGAATGGCAGAAAAAGATTCTGAGAGGAAGGTGTCAGTGGTATATATGTCAGAATGATGATGATCACATGCAATAATGAGGAAGAAATAAGTGTGAGAGAGAGAAAGTGGTTCAAAAGGGTCGAGAGTGAGAACA